AAGCAAAGATATCAGGCCGAGAGTCTTTCGTATATTGTTTAGTAGTTCTAAGGAAGCTATTATTCCCGCAACCTTGGGCATTCTACACTATAACTTTCGTATTCAACATAAAATAATTAAAAAATAGATAAAGTCATTCCATCATGGCAGAAGGGCCATTTTTCAAAGCTGACGTGAGAGAATCCGACACACCTGGCACATGAGAGGCAAGAATATTTGGTGCAGAAGGTGCTTTAATGACCAGCGGACCCGATAACGTGGGAGCCGCATAATTATGATTAACGAGGGATGGGCGGGTTGGACCCATCTTTGATAATAATAGATGTATGCTTAGTTGGGTTCTAGATAGAACTTGATTTACGAACCAAAGGAAGCTTTGAAGAGAACGCATGGTGAACCGAGAATGTTCGTGAAGCAATGACATTTGGAGAGATGGAGCCGAGAGGTGTGGCGACTGGCTTACGGACCAATAAGGAATCTTTGGCCTTTCGCTTTTGTTTGGCCCCCGGAGAAGTTGGCTTGGGAATTTTAGGAGCCACTAAAGATGTGGCTTTGGGCGGTGCAGTAGCACACTGTTCATCAATTTTGGTCAATTGTGGCTCCACCACATTACCAACAATTTCCTGTTCTTAAATAGGAGATTCATCAGAAGAAAAAATATATAGGATTAAAACTTGAGGAGTCAATTCGGATACCAGTATTCATCGTGCTTGGAGCAGCTGGTTTTCGAGTATTACGGCGAGGACGTTTTTCCACCAACATCCATGGTCTGAAGGCTTCCTCCGGAGGGAGAGGTGGCGAGGGCTGATTGAGATTCGAGTCATTTGAGACCGGAGGATCAATGTCTACAGAAACTTGTCTTTGGGCATTGGTCATGAGTATGGCCGTAAGTGCCGCAGTCGAAGCAAACAACTGGCAAGGATTCATATTCCACAATCTGAGTATGACCATTAATTACGAGTTTTGACACCAGAGGCTTTCGGAGGTTGATGTTGATCGTCATCCGAGCGAAACGTCCCCGTCTACCATTATCTGTTTGGTGGTAAATTTTTATTACAGAACCAATTCTAAAACCAATAGATTCGATCATCCTTCTTTTGTACCAGGTTATCGGCAGACTCGAAAGACGAACCCAAGCCATTATCCTACTCGGAAAAGATTGCAAAGGGCAGAAATCAGTTGACCAAGGCTCGACCGTTAAATAGTGCCCAAAAATCGTCCATGGTCCTTCCTAGAGAACTTTAAGATAATCAATCCTTGAGGCGAACTTGACCAGGAAGTAATCGTTCTCTATATCAATCGGTTTGAGCGGGTGAGACGGTTCCAAATAATATAGATTCGATTCTGGAGCGTATTGTAACCAACTCTTCGTCCCAAAACCTTCCGACAAGAGTAAGCTCCATGCTTTTTATTGTGAGATTACAGACTCTATCGGAAAAATTAATAAAAGGGACTCCATCAATTTCACTGATTGATACATCATCTTCGAGCAGTTCGATATCCTCATTGTCAAGATCATCAATATCCTGCTGAGAGAGGCCGTCAGTGTTTCCCATGATCATATCTTTGTAAGAGACGGGTTGTCTTTGCTGGGGTGGTGCATCACAATCCATATTTAAAGGGTGATGGTCAACTTGGGAATCAGGTGGATCGGGTAAAGGAGAGTATCAGCGGCGCTGCTTCTTGGGATCCCTTGGGTCTTCTGAATTATCAGCGATCGCAGGGTTTGGGGCGACAGAGGTTTCAGGATTTATCGTAGGGTTTTGGCACTTTGTTTTCTTATTTATCTTAATTTTAAAAATTATGTGAGAATTTTAAATATTTTAATTTTATCAATCAAATCACTTAATTATTTAAATAATATCAACTAAGCTACATGTTAATATTTGATGGAGTAAGTGATGTGATAGTTAAAATATTTAGTATAATAATATATTTTATTCTTATTATTTATACATTTTATCAATTTAATCATAATTTCAATGTAATTTAATAAATTTAATCATCCAATCAAATATATTTTGAACTGTAGCTAATGCAATATTTTAAGAAAATTTTCCTACAATAAGATGGTGGCATGTTTTGTGACATTTCCATCCAATTAAAGGATTAACTTTATTAAATTAAAGCTAAGATCAATTTGATAGAACATATAAGTAATGAACATCGAATGTGTAATTATACCAAACTTGTTAAATGTCACATGTCATATTTCATGTTAACGACAAGTAACTTAATTGATGTTATTGAAATGATTAAATGGTTTGATCGAAAAAATTAAAAGATCGATTGTCAAATTAAAATCTTACCATAATTAAGTAATCATGAGTGTAGTTTACCTAAAAATTATATTAACACAAGAAGTTAGAAAAATGTTTTTAAGAAATCTACGCCAATATTTTAATTAAATAACTATGCTTAAAATAAAAGATCAAAGTATACGAAATTAAGATACATAAACTAAAATCAAATTTGAGCGTAATAAAAGGTCCAAAATCAAAATTTGATAAAATATTATCAAAACTACAAGATATTCCCCTCTTTTTTTTTCAAAATACTGTAAAATTACAAAATTTAAACATAAAAAAATTGTAACAAATTCCACATGGGACAGACTGAAAAAGGTCACGTGTTCATCGTCTACTAACGAACAGCCTCGAGACCTTTGCCAACTCGCCGCCGTGGGAATCCGACAGAAAAACCTCAGCAGCTGACGTCAAATCCCGACGCCATTCCATCCATCTCGGCAATCGATTAACCGTCGTAGTGTCAGAACGTGCAGCCGCAAAAGAGAAAAAAGAAGCAGAGCATGGAAACCAAGGCGACAGACTCGAACGCCGTTATGACACTCCAAACGAATTCGTCGACGAAGGAAAAGCCGATTTGCGGCCACCCCATGAAACTCCACCGCTGGACGGAGGAGCTGAATGGTAGGAGGTCCGAAGCCACCCACCGGAACGCTGACGTGGCCCATCTCCCCGCCATTGGTACACCAGCAGGTTGTAAGAAGAAAAAGATGAGTCTGGACTCGTAGAGAGATAGTTTTATAATGATAGCAGTAGTTGGTTGTAATGAAATGATAGCAGTAGTTGGTTGTAATGAATTTTGAAGGTTTGATGTTAGATTTGAGAGGGAAATTATAGGGTACACATGGTGCTTGATTTGTCCAAGTGGGCCTAATTTTAAAAAGTAATTTACATTTTCAACCTCAATAATTAAGTAATTATTGTTATCCTTTTAGATTTCGGTTCTATTATGTACGCATGATTTATAAGTTTTTATTGTTAAATGATAAGAATTTTTAAATATATATTACTTTGTATTCACCTCATACTAATAAAAAATACGAAATATTTTCTTATTAATTTTGTTAAATAATTTTAAATATTTTTGAAACTATAGTAATAAATATAATTTGTACATATTTAAATAATTATTTATTTAGTTATTATTATTATTATTATTTTTTAAAAATATAAATTTGAACGGACTTAAATGTGTATTATTTTCAATTTAAGGGTTTAAAGAAGATTTATATTAGGTAAAGAAATTCAAATTAATTATCTGTGTTTGATTTTGGGGGAAAATTCTTTTGAGCTCCCACCAAAATTCAATTTCAATTGATTATTTGTCATGTTGTAGAGGCCATTATTGCCTTTTTATTTATTTATATTTTATGTTTCCCATTTTGTTATGGTGACCGGATGTATATATTTTTTAGGGTGAAGTATAGAAATAGTTGCTAAATTATGTTGGAATGGTCCATTTTGGTCATTAGAGTTTCAAAATTTTATAAAATGATCATTAAATTTCTTAAGCAATTATAAAATAATCATTACATTTTATAAAGCTATTACAAAATGGTCTTTAAACTTATCAATTTTTATCACTATTTTATAATATGTAATGATCATTTTATAATAGTTTGATAAGTTTAATGATTATTTTGTAACTACCGAAAATTCAGTGATCAAAAAGATCATTTCAGCACAGCTTAGTGATAATTTGTCTATTTTACCTTTTTTGAGTAGAAGTACTATAAAATAGTTAAATTCTTTTATCAGTCCATGTGTTATACCAAAGTCATGAACTTTAGTTCCTATAGTCTAATTTGGTCATTTTCAATCATTGTACATTACATTTTTTGAAATTTTGGTCCTGACCTAAACACTATTTGTTAAATATGTTAAGTCAAATTCTACTATTAATCTTTGTATTATACATGAGTCGTATATTTAGTTCATATTTTCTAATTTGATCATTTTAAGTTTATGTAATTTAGTCATTATTTATGGATGGTTTGGATGATGTTGAAATTTTAAAATTCGAAAAGTATATTATTAAAATTGAGCGAATTAGAGTACAAGGATTACATTTACAACTTAGGCTTGATATAGGGACTTATGACAGAATTTGACCATTGCAAAGTAAGCATCAAATTTTGTTTATTTCTAAATAAGACAAAAGTTTGAATTGATAAATTGATGGATGGCACTGACAATATTCTTTACGTTTGCGTTTAATCATGGTTTTAGTCCTTCAATTATATATATTTGGTTTAATCATGGTTTTAGTCCATCAATTATGATGAAATTTAAGATTTAATCACTATTTTTAAATTATTTACATGAAAATCCAGTTAACCAAGCAAAAGCACCTTCTTCCTTCCTGATCATGTCATATACATATAATTGAGTTCATCATATAATCCTTAGATATTAACCATAAACCTCCATAAACAAAGTGGATGCTAAGTTAGGTACACAAATAGTACGACACTCAAAGAGCAAGAGCGATACGGTGAAGAAGCACGAGAACAATATGGTGTCCGAGACATAAGGTTGATCGTATGATGCACGAGACTTTATGTCATGTCAACTATATCTAATAAGTTCCACTAGTTTACGAGACCGAATACATATTTTTAGTCATTCTTGATTTAGCATGTTCATAGTCGCTACCCTAAACATTGTGGCTGTACAGTCGAGAGGATCAATGTTTTTTTCTTGAAGAAACGGAGTTCGAATTAGACGAGTATCTGAGATTTAGCAGCGCCGCGTGAACATTTCTTCCGGCCACTTTTGTTAGGTGCACAACCGCAGATCTCGAGAAGCTCGTAGTCCTCCTCCCAGAATAACATGGAAGCCAACTGTGGATTCTCCACCATAATTCTAGACGTTAGGAAACCGGCGATAGTCCATGTTTGGTAAAGGCTAGATTGTTTTCCGATGAACTTCCCGCTACAGGTGTCGTAGTTTTCAGGCCATCGGTCAATCGAGAGCCTCTTCTCGGCCAAAGAAACTGCCTTCTGGGCTAATTGTAATCTGTCCATCTTGATGCATGCCAATGTAAACTAAGGGTAATACAAGATTGTGAGTTTAACTCCATGAAAGCATCACGGGACAATGTTGTTTGTATAAAAGGGCATTCTAGACAAGGGGTTCTTCGACATAAAAGAAAATTCATGTTTACCTGCCAAAGAAGCGTTGGCCAAGATCCGCCATTATGATACGACCACGGACTGCACATTTCGTTAAATACACCGGTGTCGGTAGATAATACATAAGAGGAAATATACACGTAGATAATACATAAAGGGCAAGAGACTCACGTATTCTTTGGGTCACTGCCAGTAATTATGCGCCACTCCTCGTTCTCCACGGCGGGATAACTTATCTTGCAAGGCATATGTCCCACAATATCATCCCATTTGGCTTCGATTAAGTAGAGTATAGCTTTGTTCTGTTTCGGAGTGCCCAGTGATGAAACAATCGACCAGAGATTCCCGAGTGTGAAGAACCTAAAATCCATGTGAGCTGGCTGTAGATTTCCGATTAGATAACCGCCGCCTTCTGGTATCCAGTCCATAAGCCATGAAGGGATTTGCTCTGGATAAATATTGAACTTGTTGGTAGCATCCATGGAGTACTCTTCCGTTTTATACCGATAAATCTCGTTGAGCTTTTTCATGTCAACCCAATAATATTGTAACCACCCAAAAATTACAAAATAATGTTTAATTGAAATTTGAGGTTAATTATGAAATTTGGTGAAATTTGGGGACTAAATTGGAAATTTTTTAAATTTGTAGCTTGTTTTAGAGTTAAAGGAAATTCAGGGACCAAGCCTTGAATTTACCCTAAAATGTTAGGTATTGGTTGTTATATACGTGAATTGGTTTCTGAAACCAATTCCTCCCAAATTTCCCTCTCCCAACTTCAACTTTCGACGACGATCCCGACGCCGTCCGAATTCCGATTGCCGTTTTGAAAGCACCATCGTGTTCGTTATCGAGTCAGGAACAATCCCCTCAATTTAATTGAAGCAAAACGCTGCCAAACGTCGTGAATTTCAAGTCAAAGTATCGACGTTTTTTTTAGCTCAATCGCCTAGAAAATCCTAAATTCATCGCCGATCGTTGCTCTGTTTACGACACCTCCCGCACCATCGTGTTCCTTGTGCCGTTCCGAGTCCGCCGGTGTCATCCTCGGTCTCCGTCGACGGCGGTGCATGGAGAGGTGGATCAGTCAAAGATTCGACCGAGTCGAAATCGAGCTCTCCGTCGTTCAAAAATTTGAACCGATCTTTGTAAGTATCTCGAAATCGCTCAAAATAATTTTTAGAAATTTTTCCGTGATTTTTAGAGCCCCGGATGACGTCGCACGCGTCGCCGCAGGGCGAGTGAAATCTAGAAACCGGTTTAACCGGTTTTGAACCGGTTTTAACCGGTCATGACCCGACCCGTCGACCTGATCCGACCCGTTGACCCGACCCGAATGTTGACCGTTGGACGGTGCTATTCTGGGAATTAATTTAGTTTTGGTGTTATTCTAGGAATTAATTCCAAATGAATGCTATTTTGGTAATTATTTCAAAAAATGATATTGTGGGAATTAATTCGAAAGTGGTGCTACTTTGGAAATTAATTCGAAAAGGGTGCTATTTTGGTAATTATTTAAAAAAGGTGCTATTTGTGTAAAATGTTTGACAGTTTGTTGACATCCTTTGACCGGCTTTGACCGGCTATTAAACGACCGTTAATCTTTTCTGAAAATACCTATCCTGACAGTTTTCGACGTCCCAAATCCGTTTTTAAGATCCGTTTCACTAAATTCAAACCCGAAAGTCTCCAAATCGTAAGTCAAACCCATTGACTTTAATTTTAACCGAGAATTCGAAATTTTGGAAGGTCGTACTTTATGTTTTTCGACGTCCTGAATATAATTCTGAAGTCCGTTTTACCAAATTCTGACTCGAAATTCCCGAATCGAGCTTGTAAACCCAAAAGGCTTAATATTTTAATATTTTGATTATTTAAATGAGATTTGGTCAAGGATTTATTCAATAAAAATATTTTATGAAGGTACTCGTGTTTCACCTGAGCAAGGATCAATTAGGTACGGTGTTATTCGTTCGTTAGATCAGCCTGAACCGCGTACTACGAGAATTACCCGTAGGTTTCCGTATATTATTTAAATAATATTTAGATTATTTATATTAGGATTCCAATATGGATTTTTCCAATTCGTAGGATCTAGCGCTGCAGCAGAACGTGATCGACAGACCCAGTAATAGGCTTCCCTATCTGATTTCCGAGACTGTTACAGGTGTGTTTCATGATAGTGTTATATTATTGTTTTAAAGTATATAAATATCTGAATACTGTGTATCTGATTTCTGATTTACTGTATATTTCTGATATGATTTCTGGTTACGGTATTTATTCCGTTTTCTGAATACTGATTACCCAACATCTGAATTACCATACATTACTGATTTGATTTTTGATTTCTGTATTCATGCTTATGGTTTTCAAGCTTGAAATATTCTTATGTTTTTAAAGAATTATTCATTGTTTTATACGAATACATTCATGTTCATTTCTATATTTGGGGGGGAATATTGTTGGAGGAAGATTATTGCAGGCTCCTCGGCTGTGTGCTCAGGGCCTTACTGTTACTGGTTGTGCGGGGTGTATGGTTCTAGGGAACCTACACAAATAGATTGTGAAAGGATGGGGGTAGTGTTCATGTTTTCAAAACATGTGCATAAATAAATTTTATTGAAATATTTCGTTAGTATGTTTTTATACACTGTTTGGAGCACACTGAGTTTTTTAACTCATTCTGTAAATTTTAACCTTTTTCAGATAACAGCAGACCGTAAGCTAGCAGATTTGACATCAGGAGAAATCGACTACTTTATTTTGTACGAACATATATTTCTATATGTTTTTCGGTTATGTTTGGTGACATGTATTTTATTATCGTTTTGGACATATCTGTATTATTAATATTATGTTCTATATTATATTTAACGTTCTATAGTTATATAAAAAAACCTCTGAATGGGATATGTGACCCGCTTAGGTTTGGGTTTATCTTACAGACTGGGTCTGGGGGGTTACATTTGGTGGTATCAGAGCTTTCGATTTTAAACACTCAGACTGTATATGGGTCCTAAGCTTTGAATTTTTAAGAAATAAAAAAAATGTCACCTTATGTTATGATTTAAAGTTTTCTCGAGGTCCCTGATGCTAATCTGACATATGTTTCAAATTCTTTATGTAGAGCCTTATAGATCCAACGATGAATGCTGTTAGAGGTCGTAGGACAGGACGTGGACGTGGTAGAGGGCGAGTCACTCGACCTTCTGTTACGATAGACGATCCGAAATCACCACGTGATCCTCCTGTTCCGCAAGTAGATCCGACTCTTTCTCATGATGATCAGTTTACTCCCGTGAGAGACCATCCCGTCACTGAGGATGATTATACTGAGATGAATGAAGACGCCATTAATAGAGCTATATTCTGCATGTTTCAGAGAACTGCTAGAGCCCCTAGTAACATGACTGCAGTGGAGATTTCAAATTCTTTGGTCGTTGCTGGTGTAATTCCATTCGAGGGTATTACTGGTGGACCTCCGACAGACGCTGAGTATTGGCTGGAGGACACAAAGAGGATTATGGATGAAATGGACCTCAGACCTGAGCAGAAGTTGAAGGGGGCCCTAATTATGTTGAAGAAATAAAGCTTCAGATGGTGGCAATCCATTTCTGGTAGTATTGCGAGGAACCAATTAACATGGGATCTTTTCAAGACGCGCTTCCGGAGTCGCTACATCGGAGAAAGATATCTGCAGGAGCGACGCTTGGAGTTTCAGAATCTGGAGCAGGGTAATATGTCTGTTATGGATTACGAGGTTGAGTTCATCCAATTGAGCCGATATGCTCCTGGACTTGTGGACACTGAGACAGATCGATGCTTGAGGTTCGAGAATGGACTCAGGTATGAGATCAGGAGTCGAGTCGCTACCTATCGAGAGAGGAATTTTGATGCTTTGGTTGAGATAGCCAAGACTGCTGAGGAAATAGAGCGATTGGGTATGGAGCACAGGAGAGATAGTGATCGAACTCAAACCCGATTCAGGAGGCCTTCTGGTTTTGTTAATTCTTCAGCACACCCTAGAAAGAGAGGCATGGGTAAGTCCTTTCAGAGAGGTGGTAAGAGTGTTAGACCTGTTGCATCTGGTTCTTCAGCTGTTCAATCTTCTAGACATGGTGGATCTTCTGGGTTGCAATCTTTGCAGTCATGTAATTATTGTGGGAAACCTCATTATAGGGAATGCAGGAAGAAATTGGGTACATGTTTCAGATGTGGTTTAAGTGACCATATTGTAAAGGATTGTCCGGAGATAACTCTTTCAGTTCAGACACCAGCTCGTACTCCCGCTCGTACTCAGAGTACTGTTCAAACTCCTGCGGGTGGTCGTACTTAGGAGAGAGCATCTGGATTAGCTAGTAGAGGTCGAGCATCTCAGAGTAGGGGTCCAGTCAAATCTGAGGCCAGACAACCTGTATTGGTTTACACTGCTAGACTTCGACAAGATCGTGATGGGCCTAATGTGACTTCAGGTACTGTTACTATTCATTCAGTTCCATACTTTGCATTGTTTGATAGTGGCTCTACAAATTCCTATGTATCACATTCCGTTTCTGAGGGTCTAAATATTCCTGTTGAGAATATTGAGAGTTCAGTGATAGTTCAAAGTCCCTTAGGCAAATCCATCGTGTTGGATCGTATTTTTAGAGAGTGCCCTATAGAGATCAATGGGGAGATTTTTCTGGCTGACCTGATGGAGTTACCCTTTGAAGAGTTAGATTTGATTCTCGGCGTAGATTGGTTGGACAAACATCGAGTAAATATTGATTTTGAGACTAAGAGAGCTGTTCTGAAGACCCCAGATAATCGAAAGATTATAATGATCGGGGAACGACGTGGATTTCTGACGAATGTTGTGTCTGCCTTGGTAGCGGAGAAGATGATCAGGAAGGGTTCTGAGGCGTTTCTTGCTTATATTTTGGACACTAGGAGATCGCAATCCGATATTGAAGGCATCCGAATTGTCAAGGAATTTCCCGATGTTTTTCCCGAGGAGTTGCCTGAATTACCTCCAGATAGAGAAGTCGAGTTTGTGATTGAAGTCTATTCTAGTTCCACCCCGGTTTCAATGGCTCCTTATCGTATGGCCCCAAAGGAGCTTAAGGAACTAAAAGTTCAACTTCAGGAGTTGTTGGACAGGGGATTTATTCGACCTAGTGTATCACCGTGGGGAGCTCCAGTTCTCTTTGTCAAGAAGAAAGATGGGACATTGAGACTGTATTGATTATAGAAAACTGAACAAGCTCACTGTTAAAAATAAATATCCTCTGCCCAGGATCGATGATCTATTTGACCAATTTCGAGGGGCTTCTATCTTTTCAAAGATAGACTTGAGATCTGGTTATTATCAACTCAAAGTGAAAGATTCGGATATTCCGAAGACTGCTTTCCGTACTCGATATGGCCACTATGAGTTTTTAGTGATGTCATTCGGGTTAACTAATGCCCCTGCTGCTTTTATGGATCTGATGCATAGGGTGTTTCGACCTTATTTGGACCAGTTTGTAGTTGTATTCATTGATGACATACTGGTGTATTCTAGAAGTGAAGTAGAACATGAGAAGCATTTAAGGATTGTTCTTCAGACTCTAAGGGAGAATAAGCTATACGCTAAGTTGAGCAAGTGTGAGTTCTGGCTCAGCGAAGTGACTTTTCTTGGACATATCATCTCTGCTGATGGCATTCAGGTGGATCCGAGCAAAGTGGAGGCTATTCTGAACTGGAAGCAACCCAGAAACGTCTCTGAGATCCGTAGTTTCTTGGGCTTAGCGGGTTACTACCGTCGTTTCGTTGAGAGGTTCTCTCTTATTGCAGTTCCTCTGACGAAACTATTGAGGAAAGATGTTCCATTTGTCTGGTCTGAGGACCAACAAGCTAGCTTTGAGAAATTGAAGACTGTTCTAACTCAAGCCCCAGTGTTGATTCAGCCTGAATCTGGGAAGGATTTTTCTGTCTACAGTGATGCTTCTTATTCTGGATTAGGATGTGTTTTGATGCAAGATAGGAAAGTTGTTTCTTATGCGTCACGTCAGTTAAGGCCGCATGAGCGTAACTATCCTACTCACGATATGGAATTAGCTGCTGTGGTTTTTGCTTTAAATATCTCGAGACACTACCTCTACGGAGAAAAGTGTTATATCTATACTGATCATAAGAGTATGAAGTATCTGCTTACTCAGAAAGAATTGAATTTGAGACAGCGTCGCTGGTTGGAGCTTTTAAAGGACTATGATTTTGAGATAGAATATCATCCATGGAAGGCTAATGTAGTGGCAGACGCCTTGAGCCGTAAGATGATATCAGATCTCAGAGCCTTATTTGCCAACTTGAGCTTATTTGATGATAATAGTTTGTTAGCAGAGTTACAGGTTAAACCTACTTTGGCCGAGGAGATTAAGGCCAAACAACTCCTTGATAGCTCGTTGCTTCCCATTATTGAACAAGTTAAGCAAGGATTGAGTTCGGAGTATATGGTGGATCATGATAGTATTTTGTGTTTTCACGGTCGTTATTGCGTCCCTAAAGATGATGAGTTGAGACGGGTTATTCTTCAGGAGGCTCATAGTAGTCCTTATGCTATGTATCCTGGTGGGGACAAAATGTACAAAAATCTCAAAGAGTGCTACTTTTGGACTGGTATGAAAAAGAATATTTCAGATTTTGTGGCGAGGTGTTTGACTTGTCAGCAGGTTAAGGCAGAGCACCAACATCCATCTTGATTGTTACAATCAATTAAGATTCCTGAGTGGAAATGGGAGCGCATCACGATGGACTTCGTTACTGGTCTTACTCTAACTCCTTCCAAAAAGGATTCTATCTGGGTGATTATTGATCGACTCACCAAGTCAGCGCACTTTATCCCTATTCGGGTTAATTATTCTCTGGATAAACTGGCTAAGTTGTACATTTCTGAGATCGTTAGACTTCATGGTATTCCGTTGTCTATCATATCTGATCGAGATCCGAGATTCACTTCTAGGTTCTGGAAAGCTTTGCACGAGACTCTGGGTACTCGTTTGAATTTCAGTACAGCTTTTCATCCTCAAACTGATGGACAGTCTGAGCGAGTGATTCAGGTATTGGAGGATATGTTAAGAGGTTGTGTGATTGATTTTCGCGGTATAATAGTTATCAGGCGAGTATTCGCATGGCACCGTATGAGGCTCTGTATGGACGTAGATGCCGTACTCCTATATGTTGGACAGAGTTACATGATAGAAAAACTTTGGGTCCAGACTTGGTACGAGAGACTGAAGATACTGTCAGATTGATCCGTGATCGCTTAAGAGAGGCATTTGATAGGCATAAATCATACGCAGATAAGCGACGTAAGGATATTGAGTTTGAGGTTGGAGATCAGGTTTTCCTCAAGGTATCTCCATGGAAGAAAGTATTGAGATTTGGACGTAAGGGTAAACTGAGTCCGCAATTTATTGGGCCTTATCGTATTCTGAAAAAAGTTGGACATGTTGCTTATCAGCTTGAGTTGCCTTCCCAGCTTAGACGTATTCATGATATTTTTCATGTATCTATATTGAGGCGATACCGTCCAGATCCAGATCACATCATTCAGGTTGATGAGGTAGAGTTGAGACCTGATTTGTCATATGAGGAGGAGCCTGTTTAGGTTTTAGAGAAAGATGAGCGAGTTCTTCGGAATAAGCGTATTCTAATGGTCAAAGTTCAGTGGAGTAATCGTAGCCCCTCAGAAGCTACTTGGGAGACATTGGAGTCAATGGAGGTTCAATTTCCTCATCTATTTTCATAAGGTAAATTTCGAGGACGAAATTTCTTGTAGAGGGAGAGAATTGTAACCACCCAAAAATTATAAAATAATGTTTAATTGAAATTTGAGGTTAATTATGAAAATTGGTGAAATTTGGGGACTAAATTGGAAGTTCTTTAAACTTGTAGCTTGTTTCCCAACCTCAACTTACGACGACGATCCCGACGCCGTCCGAATTCTGATCGCCATTTTGAAAGCACCACCGTGTTCGTTATCGAGTCAGGAACAATCCCCTCAATTTAATTGAAGCAAAACGCTGCCAAACGTCGTGAATTTCAAGTCAAAGTATCGACGTTTTTTTTAGCTCAACCACCTAGAAAATCCTAAATTCATCGTCGATCGTTGCTCTGTTTACGACACCTCCCGCACCATCGTGTTTCTTGTGCCGTTTCGAGTCCGCCAGTGTCATCCTCAGTCTCCGTCGACGGCGGCGCGTGGGGAGGTGGATCAGTCAAAGATTCGGCCGAGTCGAAATCGAGCTCTCCGCTGTTCAAAAATTTGAACCGATCTTTGTAAGTATCTCGAAATCGCTCAAAATAATTTTTAGAAATTTTTCCGTGATTTTTAGAGCCCCGGAAGACGTCGCACACGCTACACTCGCCGCCGTAGGGCGAGTGAAATCTGGAAACCGGTTTGACCGGTCATGTCCCGACCCGTCGAACCGATCCTACCCGTTGACCCGACCCGACCGTTAACCGTTGACCGGTGCTATTTTGGGAATTAATTCAGTTTTGGTGCTATTCTGGGAATTAATTCGAAATAGGTGCTATTTTGGTAATTTTTTTTGAAAAAGTGATATTCTTAGAATTAATTCGAAATTAGTGCTTTTTGGGAATTAATTCGAAAAGGGTGCTATTTTGTTAATTATTTTAAAAAGGTGCTATTTGTGTAAAATGTTTGACAGTTTGTTGACCTCCGTTGACCAGAACTTTGACCGGCTTTGACCGGCTATTAAACGACCGTTAATCTTTTCCGAAAATACCTATCCTAATAGTTTTCGACGTTCCGAATCCGTTTTTGAGGTCCGTTTTGCTAAATTTAAACCCGAAAGTCTCCAAATCGTCAGTCAAACCCATTGACTTTAATTTTAACCGAGAATTCAAAATTTCGGAAGGTCATACTTTATGTTTTTCGACGTCCTGAATATAATTCTGAAGTCCGTTTTGCCAAATTCTGACCCAAAATTCCCGAATCGAGCTTGCAAACCCAAAAGGCTTAATATTTTAATATTTTGATTATTTAAATGAGATTTGGTCAATGATTTATTCAATAAAAATATTTTATGAAGGTACTCGTATTTCACCTGAGCAAGGATCAATTAGGTACGGTTTTATCCGTTTGTTAGATCAGCCTGAATTGCGTACTACGAGAATTACCCGTAGGTTTCCGTATATTATTTAAATAATATTTAGATTATTTATATTAGGATTCTAATATGGATTTTTCCAATTCGTAGGATCTAGCGCTGCAGCAGAACGTGATCGACAGACCCAGTAATAAGCTTCCCTATCTGATTTCCCAGACTGTTACAGGTGTGTTTCCTGATAGTGTTATATTATTGTTTTAAAGTATATAAATATCTGAATACTGTGTACCTGATTTCTGATTTACTGTATATTTCTGATATGATTTCTGGTTACGGTATTTATTCTGTTTTCTGAATACTGATTACCCAACATCTGAATTACCATACATTACTGATTTGATTTTTGATTTATGTATTTCTGTTTATGGTTTTCAAGCTTGAAATATTCTTATGTTTTTAAAGAATTATTCATTGTTTTATACGAATATATTCATGTTCATTTCTATCATTGGGGGGAATATTGTTGGAGGAAGATTACTGCAGGCTCCTCGGCTGTGTGCTCAGGGCCTTACTGTTACTGGTTGTGCGGGGTGTATGGTTCTGGGGAACCTACACAAACAGATTGTGAAAGGATGGGGGTAGTGTTCATGTTTTCAAAACATGTGCATAAACAAATTTTATTGAAATATTTCGTTAGTATGTTTTTATACACTGTTTGGAGCGCACTGGGCTTTTTAGCTCATTATGTAAATTTTAACCTTTTTCAGATAACAGCAGACCGTAAGCTAGCAGATTTGGCATTAGGAGAAATCAACTACTTTATTTTGTACGAACATTTATTTCTATATGTTTTTTGGTTATGTTTGGTGACATGTATTTTATTATCGTTTTGGATATATCTGTATTATTAATATTATGTTCTATATTATATTTAACGTTCTATAAGTTATATATAAAAAAAACCTCTGAATGGGATATGTGACCCGCTTAGGTTTGGGTCTATCTTACAGACCGGGTATGGGGTTACAAGTATTCTTTGATGTGGAATGATAGTGCACTCAGTCTATTGTTGATGGCACTCACCAAATTCTTGGAGCATTTATCGTTAAGAATCTCACGAGCGCAACGTAGGGCGGAGTAAAACAAAGCCTGCAGATCAAACATTTTAGATGACAGATAAAACAGCAACCTGGCTCATTGAGACCAGGTAACATAGAGCGACTCAACAAATGAACTCACTTGAATCTCGAGAGGATGACCGTGAATACCCATCCTTCGGTCTATCATGCTTGATCCGTCGGTGACTAACAGAGACGGAAACATATCGAATCCATCGGCTAAACACAAGTTAAGGATCAGTTTTATTACTGTTTGAACGTCCACTCTCTCCTGCAATGCATAGTCACCTGTGATCTTCCCGTATGCCCTCAACAATATGATCCACCGCAATCCTATCAACAAAGCGATTTCAGTAAACTTAATTCGCATTAGTAATAGGTCTACGAAGTACCGCAATATACCAACCAGAGTCGACCGGTGCAACACGACCAATAGCGGATTCACCGAAATCTGGATCTAGTACTTCCTCGAACTTATTGTCATCAAGAGGTACAGTTGTAACCTTAAAGCTTGCCGGCATCAAACCCTGTCCTGGACTATAGCAATCCACAGTTTTCTCCCTACTCTAGATTAAAAACAAGTGAACATGTATAATATATAGTGTTATATATATGAATGTATGTATGTATACCTGCAACTGCAAGGTATGCAGGAGAAAGTTCTTGACAATCTCTCCTTCACCTCGAAGCAAGAAAGCCAAAGCCGAAGGCACGAAATCACGAATGAAAACCTGGTCATAATTCAAAGGCTGCTTATCACCAGGATCATTTGCTGACACCGTACCAACAGGAGATCCACAATACGTCACAACTTCATCTCTCAGCAGACTCCATGCCTCCTTTTCGATGTCGCTCTCTGCTAAAATCCCACCCTTCTTCTCCTGTAAACCCTCCCCAACATTCTTCACATTGTTTTCACCTTCAACTAGAGGAAAATTTCCTCTTACGGTGTTTTCATCCTTGCCAACTCTTTCAACAACGCGTGGCTTAACGTTATTCTCGTTTTGAACACGGAGTCTCTCGAAACTCTTATCTTTTACACTGGTTTCAAACAATGTTGAGAAACACCGAACCCTCAAAGCTACCCTGGCTTGAATAGAGACACCATATGGCCTAGAAGAAGCAAAACCCGATCTTGGTAAGCAATTCAAATTCTGGGTATTGTCGATAATGTGTTGTGAGCCTAAGAATCGAAAAGGGAAGGCACAGAATTGAGAGTTTTGATTGAAATTCAAGGGAAAATCTTTCGCTTTGCAAGAAATCTTTTTATCACAACAAGGGGGATTAAACGAATGTTTGAACCCCGAACACGATGCATTTCTAAGGCTTAGGACCCTTGAAGGAAGCTTCATGGTGGAATTGCGGAGGAAATTGATGGCGTTCATAGCCAACAATGGAAGCCAGAAATATATGGAAATGGAGAAGTGTAAAGCATGAAATTGATGGCCTTTACTCATTGTTAATTTTTACCGAACAAAAAAATAGAAATTGTCTTGAAATAACCATCGTAGGTCATGGTATCTTGCAAGTGAAGGAACATTGTCATTACAAACTTTCAATGTGATTCATTATACAAAGCATTAGATGTACCATTTGAAAAATGAAACCAATCAAAAATGGCAAATTCAATACTCAGTTTTCTACATGCCACACTTGTTAACTTCACTACATTTTCTTCCATTTCGTTCTCGTATATTACTATCGACTGTTTCAGACAACACTAAATGCCGATTGTATGGTGGAAGAAAATCTCGAAGCAATGGTCTGGGTGGCGAACTGTTGAATCTGCTTCTTGGCATCTGAAAGGACCAAAAACATAATTTATGGTCAACATTTTTCCAACAATGAGTACATGCACTCTCAAATCTTAGCACCAATAACGTATTAACAGAGCGTCATCACTTATCATCTCTCAAACTAAATACATAGGGCAAAAACAATTCAAAACTACAACCTGCAAAAACCAGAGAATACATGCAGAAACAAAAGCAAATGCAAGAATGGCTATTGCCCGATTTACACCGAGAGGAATCACTACCCAGATGGTTGGTCTCCTTATGCAAACCAATAACACCAATCATGTAGTCAAATGATCGATAAAATGCAGTATATGGTATCCAGGGGAAAAGTCATCACAATATCTAAAGTACATGAGTCATGGCAATATGCGCTAATCTAAAAATCCCAGAGATATTCAGGCTGAGTCATAAACATCTAGGAAAACCTATTTTGCACCTATCATGAATTATTCAAGACCAAGTCATAATTAATTTAATAATCACATGTCATTTCCTTGTAGCAATATGATGTCGTACTCAACCGAGCATTGTAATTATAGTAAACAAACCAACCTTTGCGGCATTTGGTGAAGCCCACGATATTGGCAATGTTGAGAGTCAAACAAACTCCAACAACGAGGAGATAATCAGCTTGAAACCTTATGAGGGAGAATATTCCAAGCACAATCCAGGCAACAGCCTGAAAAATTAAAGAATGAATTAATGAATCTGAACATTTGGGACACACATCTTTACCTATCTCTACATAGTATGCCATGGGATAAACTTACCGAAAGGTAAAGGGTCCACCAAAATAGCCATGAATCTTTCTTGTTCATCCGGGCCAATGACTAAAATAGACAGCAACAGTGAACAATTGAGAGACTTGATAATGTTAAATCTAAAAAGTATGTATGGTTCAATTAAGCGAAACACTCACCTCTTGGTCAAGACATTCAAATCTCCATACGCTCTCCCCGAGATCATTAATTTCATTCCACCACCTCAAACCGACCAATATACGTCCACTAACATTCTTAACCACCCAAAAGTCAAGAGCAGAAAGAAGAACAGTCACCACAAAAATGATCACAAAGCTGTTGAGAAAGAGAGCAGAAAGGATGTAAAAGGCCAATGCCGCAGCCTGCAGGAAAAAAGAACTAAGCATCAACACCGGAAAAAAGGCATACAAATCGGATTCACAAGATCAAGATAATTAGATGCAGAAAACAATTGACCTTGAAGAGAACATGAAAGAAACACGTCCTGGGGTTGGCATAATTTTCAACTGCAGGCTGCACAAAAAGAGAAGTAAAATCATTTTAAAGCATCAAACCAGTACTCTTAAGCACCAAATAAAAATCTGGATCTCAAATTTGTAAAATGTCTATCTAGTTTTCATGTTCCAATAAGCAATGGGGTTGTTCAATTCACCGTCTTTCTTCAACCAAATCATTGAGGCAACATAAAAGATGAACATTTTTCAGTCCAAAGTTGGATCTTAGGATCTACTTTATAACAACCTAGTGTTCTTACCAACCTTTGCTTACAAATTGTCAGATTTCATCCGTTTTATCATCAAACAAACAAAAGGGCACGCTTCAAAGTCGAAATTTCTAAGGAAAAAAACTCAGATCTACCAGTTAACCAATCCGAGCACAGCATCATGCATAGAACAAGTAGGTACAAAATCAAGGAAATTAGATAAACTAGCAAAAAGAAAAATGGAGGGATTAAAAGAGAGATAGATCCAACTCACCTGAGCGAAGTCCATTATAGGGATAAGCTAGAATTTGATGGGGTTATGAATCTTTTGGAAAATTTACAGGGTTTTTCGCATACTTTTATCGAAACTGTTTTGGTTTTCCTTTGTTTATAGATCCAGGTGAAATGAGGGATATTCACGTGAGAAGGTCCCTAATTTTCAAGGAATTACTCGGATTTACCCTTCTCAATATTTGGTTCTTTTATTTACCACCAAATGTTACTGCGGCAGACCGTTAAGAATCTAAACTCATGGGGGGCTTATCATACAAATCGGTACAATTTTACATGCACACGGGGTCTCGATTTAAGCCCACCTGATTTTATAGAGTCATATTTTTATTTTTAAAATTTTAGATTTGAGTTGAAATTTTTGAAAGATAAAATTGGGTAGATTTAACGTGAAAAATATTTAATTAGAGAATAATAGTATAATTTACATTTATATATTTAAAGATGATTGTCGTAATACTCCTTTTCCTATAATTTTTTTTAATTAGAACTCTTGTTTATTTGAACTAATCAAATGGACTTACTAGTAATAGATAATAAGTCTTGAGTTTGAGTAGTTATGTTTGTATAGTGTGTTGTCAATTAATTAAAAAAATTAAATATATGTTATCTTATAATTACCTAAATTATTAAAAATTTATATTTCAACTAATAAAAGTGAGGATTATATATGTGTCAGGTCCGATCAACAATAAAATTTTACCTTGAAAACTGAGTAAAAGAATTTCAAACCTAAACCAAATAGAATGAAAGGGTGGATGAATATTATATTTAGATCAAATTTGAATAAATCAAAAACTCAACATAATCCATAATCATCTCTACTTATATTTACAGTTTTATCACTTTGATAAACTTAAAGAATTTAGTTAATAGATAAATAATTAACGATAAAATTAAACATAAATTAAAAGAAAAATCAAAATTTTCGATATGTTCGTAGGCGGAATTTCACGGGGTTAAGAGGAGCTTGGTCCCGCTAATTTTTTTTTTAAATATTAATTAATATTAATATATATATTTAAAAATTAAATAAAAAATATTTTAACTCCACCTTAATAAATTTTTGTTTCCAACGCTGGATATGATAGATAGAGTCCAACAGAAGGAGAGGCTGTGGATATAAGCAAAGGTCTTATCCTGATCGTGCGTTGAAAGAGATAAAACATGACGCTCATACTTGTTCAAGTTTCAGTCACTAATTCACAACCTCAAGCAAAGGCAAAGAGGCATGGCAAAGGTGGTGGTGTTGCAGCAGGCAACGAGGCAGCCTCCCATCTCCCTCCTCTCTTCCTCCCTCTCCCACTTCAATGGCACCAAACTCTTCCAAATCCAGGTCTCTCCCTCTCTCTCTCTCATCACATTTCTCTACTGAAAAATGCTTCCCTGGGCGGCTTAAACTTGACTAGGAATGTAAATGAACCGGATTTGAATGAATAATGTTGTATTGGTATTCGTTTGTTTATTTTTTAACATTCATATTCGGTTTTGAATCATTTTAATTTTTAATATTATTTTCGTGTTTGTTTTCTTATTTTTATATATGTTCCTGTTCAAGAAGAACCAAGTAAAGTAGCTCGTAAACGAGTCGATTAACGAGCTTATATACAAACTTTTAAACGAGTTTGTTTATGACCATAAATAAACCGAAGGAACCTTTATTCATATTCATTTGCTTATTAAATATATATATAAATTTTGTTCATAGTTCATACTAATTTATTTAACTTAATAAATAAACGTTATACGAACGTTATGTTCATTTAGGCCCCTAAACTTAAAGCACTTCACCTTGTTGCAGTACAAAAGAAAGGTGTATCAGCCAAAGGGTGCATTGCATGTTGCAGCATCCAGCACCAAGAAGATCCTTATAATGGGGGGCACTCGCTTCATCGGTGTTTTTTTGTCTAGACTCCTAGTGAAAGAGGGTCATCAGGTACACATTTGAATCTAAACTAATGTAAAATTTATGCATTGGAAGTTGGAACAGTGACAGATCCACACCTTATTGAGTGTGAGCATTGAAATTCAAATATTTCTAGATCCGCCACTGCATTGGAAGCTGATTATGGCTCATGATCCTTTGGCAGGTCACTTTGTTCACTAGAGGTAAAGCACCGGTCACACAACAATTGCCTGGTGAATCAGACAGCGACTACTCTGATTTTAAATCCAAGGTATGATGCCTTGAAAAGGTTTAATAATCTTGCTTTTCGGTTGACAACATGAGTGGTTTTGTATGACTGGTTTTGATTTGGTAGATCTTGCATCTGAAAGGAGATAGACAGGACTTCGAGTTCGTGAAATCGAGTCTTTCTGCCGAAGGCTTTGATGTGGTGTACGACATTAATGGTACTCGTCTCGTGCTCGTTCTGTGTTTTGCTTTTCCACTAGGATAGATCTGTGTTTCAAGTAGAGAATCCTTTTTGCTACGATTTTTCAGGACGAGAGGCGGTTGAAGTCGAACCGATATTGGATGCACTCCCAAATCTGCAACAGTAAGTTGAATCGATAGTTGTATTGGTTTATATGTCTTAAACCGGTGTCAAAACGGTGTCGATGCCATATTCTAATGCTTTGCTAATTCCCAGGTTCATATACTGCTCCTCAGCTGGTGTTTACCTCAAATCTGATATTTTACCACATTGTGAGGTAGGCATTGCCAGTTTTCACTCATGTTCCATTGGCTTTTGTTAATCTCTTCTAACTCGTTGGTGGCTCGCCGATAGGTTGATGCAGTCGATCCAAAGAGTAGGCACAAGGGAAAGCTTAATACCGAGAGCTTACTCGAGAAGAGGGGTGTCAACTGGACATCTTTGAGGCCAGTCTACATTTACGGACCTTTGAATTATAATCCGGTTGAAGAATGGTTCTTCCACCGTTTGAAAGCCGGCCGCCCTATTCCGATTCCAAACTCCGGAGTGCAAACAACCCAACTCGGTCATGTAAAGGTTAGTGGGACTGCAACACTGCTGCTACATATGCTGGCCACTCTGTATCTGTTATTTTGGCTACAAACAGAAATTTGTATGATATTTATCCCTTGCAATATTGGTGAAACTCCAGGACTTGGCAACGGCTTTCGTCCGGGTTCTCGGTAATGAAAAAGCCAGCAAGCAAGTGTTCAATATTTCAGGAGAGAAATACGTGACTTTCGACGGATTAGCGAAAGCTTGTGCCAAGGTAATTCGAACATTCTTCCATTGAGAAGATAAGAGATTGAAGTCATATGAATACCGAATTCATTACTGAAGTAGTTGTTGTTGTTCATCCAGGCTGGTGGATTTCCAGAACCCGAGATCGTTCACTACAACCCGAAGGAGTTAGACTTCGGTAAAAAGAAGGCATTCCCATTCAGAGATCAGGTAACTCTCCACACAAATTTCATTTCACATTCAGATAAAATGATTGCATGGAGAAATGTTCATATTTGCCATATATTGCAGCATTTCTTTGCATCAGTTGAGAAAGCAAAGCATGTGCTGGGACTGAAACCGGAATTCGACCTGGTGGAAGGACTCACAGACTCTTATAACCTCGATTTCGGAAGGGGAACATTCAGGAAGGAGGCCGATTTTTCAACTGATGACATGATTCTGAACAAAAGTTTTGCTCTTCAGTCGTAGGCAATTCGTCTCGTCATCACATTTTAAATTTTTCGTCGCTTCGAGTCAAGTCAGCATATATAATGATTAAGAAGAATGTTTCAATCTAATGGTCATATAAGCAACATTCACTGTTCTTTAATCAATCTGGAATGTGGAATTGTAGCCATGCACATGCAATAGCACCAATCCCTTTCTGGCATATCTAACCATACAATTGTAATACTGATTTCTCAAATATGTGCTATTGAAAACCAAAACACTACATAACAAGCACAAAGCATCTGATATGACAGTATTCTTTAAGGAGCTTGACAACATAGTTTAAACGACTATGATATGATTCATTCTAGTTTAAACGACTTTCCAACCATATACAATATACATATATATCTTCATATTCTTTTTTCACATACATAAATACGATTTCTAATGTTATTTAACAAATCAAAATCATCTAAAGTTATACATATTTTAAGAAAGAAATTTCAAGAAAACATTGATGAAAATATAAAAGATTAAAAGAACATATAGATAATTATAGTAGGAGGGTTAAATTAAACAAAGTTTAAAAGTAAATGATTAAATTACAAAAAGAAGAAAATCATTGTGAAAAAAGTGAATTTCCGTAGATGGAGAAATTATGTTATTTAAATTTAGTCAAAAATATATTTAAAATAAAAAAAAATAGAATTACATAAATATTCTTCAATGGTCGAAGAGCATAAAATACAAATTCAGTCAAAAATGAACTTAAAACAAAGACCAAAGTGACGAAACAAGATAACCATAAACCAAATTACAAAACAATCAAATTACTCTAAGAAAACACCAAAACTATGTTTTAATTTTCGGTTTTTCGATAAGCGTGACTCGAAATTCAAACCAAAATATATGACAAAACAAATGAACATGCAAATAAACATTGATCTTTCCTTCTCTAGGTCGACAAATTACATACAAGAAAACATACGAGAGTAGACATAAGTTTGGTCTCCATCAACCATGGATGTTACAATCTGCAGAAACATATAGAAGTGGGAAGATGATGTCTAAATCTGTCTGCTGCTTTTACATAAAACAAAGGTGGTAAGCTCAACAACATAAAATGCATGCAGCAACAAATAAACAAACATCGTGATGGCTTACATAAAGGTAATACGCTTTTGCTAGTTGGGTTACATTTCTGCATCAAAATCACAATCCAAGTGATTGACACTGCTTTCTTGCATGCTCCGGAACCAATTTCACCAATATCTCCATCGGAACACCCTTCAGTTCTGGTTTTAGGGTATGAGATCAGTAATAATCGATCATACATCTTAACGATACAGAAAAGCTCTCATTACAAAGAAAATGTTGTTTTGACTATATTCCTTACCGTGAGGTTTGAAGTTAAACAATGGCGGAAGGAACCGGCCATTTGGTAAGCGTGCATTTGGATCACGCAACTCGTCAAAGAAAGGATGGATCAAGGCATCAAGCTGCAACGTGAGCAAGGCAGAAAACCATAAGATTATAAATAGTGATCTTAGAACTTCTATCATCGATAAAAGTCAGAGGTGAATTGAAGGAAAAACATTTAAGCATAATAAAATGAAGAATTTATATAGTTACCGCAGAACACCGGAGATTAGGAGAGTATTGGAGTAATCTTGACACCAAATCAACAGCTTCAGGAGGCATGCGCTTATGGAATATCTAGTACAAGTTAATAATAATAATTATAATAATTGCTTGATAAGGTTGAACAAAAGACCATTTTCACACCCTTTCTTCGATCCTTAATACCTTATGCCATGGGTGAGCCTTAATCTGAGGGAATTTGAACTCTGTATAATTAGGGTTCATGCACTTAATTTCCTCTCGTGTTGGAGTGCCCAAGACCTAGAAAATAAACGCATAATTATCATATTTAAAGAGAAATGGTCAATTTGACAATGGAAATGACTAAAGCAGCTATAATGATGTCAAACAGAGGTATTTCACGACATTGTTATTAACAAAGGCACTCGTAGAAACAATAATAAATATGTCAATTTTGCATGGCAACGAATCTGTTATCTCGTGAAGAATTTAAGTTTCTTCCCATGGAAACATTCCAGAATGGCATTATTGTAATAATATGGACATACGCATACACACAAACATTGCACTAACTACTCACTCAGAAAATTAAGGACGAGATTTAAATACCTTAATAATCTCAACAAGTTGGTCGACTCCACTCTCACCAGGAAATAAAGGCTGAGATAAATAGAATATATATATATATATATTAATTTGGAACGCCAAGCTTAATTTAAGGTAATAATAACAACCATAAACCTCATATGCACACGTTTCCTACCTGTCCAAGTAACATTTCAGTAAGGACACATCCAGCAGACCAGATGTCTATAGCTGTAGTGTACTCGGTTGCTCCAAATATTAGCTCAGGTGCTCTATAATACCTTGAGCAGATATATGATATGTTTGGTTCCCCTTTCACCTACCAAGATATGAAAATATAAAATAATAAAGACCTAAGCAAAACTCAAAGATCCATAAACAAATTAGTAAATTTAATGAGATTATAACCTACCAAGACTTTTGCACTTCCAAAATCACATAGTTTAAGTTGATGAGTATGCGGATTTACCTGTAAGGAGGAAAGTGTAAGACATCAAGATCAAGTTCAAAAATAAGAGGATTGACTTGACAAGTTCAATCACTTTACAGGCAAGGGATACTACTAAAATCAACAAACAAGGAGGCAAAATGTCACGGTAGAAAGAGATATTTGAACATACCAAAAGGTTTTGAGGTTTGATGTCCCGATGACACACGCCAATGCTGCAATGGATGTAAGACAAAGCCCTAAATATCTACCAAATATCAGCCTTTATTAGCGCCTAAGATGAGTAAAAGTAAAAGAACACAAGAGAAATCAAAATTTTAAACACTGGCATGTACCTGGTATGTATAAAGTTTCACATATATCAATGGCATCCTTTGGTTCAACTTGTTATAGTGCTTGATCACACGATGAATAGTCTCAGGTACATACTCAAGTACCAAATTAAGATAAAGTTCATCCTTGTTTGTTGTTGAAAAAAAGCAATGTTTCAAAGCCACAACATTTGGGTGATCAAGAAGCCGCATTATTTGCAGCTCACGGTTCTTATACCTCTTATCTTGAAGAACCTTCTTTATAGCAACAGTTTCACCTGTCTCCAAGCACTTTGCCTTCATTTTACCAAAAAAAAAAAAACGAATGTCCATTACTAACATAAAAATAAAGATTAACAAGATATACCACCAATCATAAAACAAGGCAGAGTTGGTTACCTGGAAAACAACTCCAAAGGATCCATGTCCAACCACATGTTCAGCCATGTAACTAATCGTCTGGAATTTATAGTGTTATATTAGAAAATGACATGTAATGAAAGAAAATGGGAGAAAAGGATAACTTGCAAAGTTTACTAGCAGCAATTAGATATCAAACCAGTAAAAACAATACCTGTTTTGGCCGACCATTTTTACCACCAATAGTTGTCACAATTATATGCCCTGTCTCTGTCCCATTACAATCAACAACTGTTGCTTCCATTTCCTAAAAATTAGAGATGATCCATGAGTCGTAGCTGCATTCCTTTTTTTTACTAATGAAAGCTGGTAGTACTTGGTAATTATTAAATTAAATGATTAGAAAAATTCGAAAGTAGGTAACAACAATGATAAAGGTTCAAGGAAGAAATGTTTACTTTTTCATCTCTAATTTTCATGTCATTCATCTCCTCGGGTAACTTTTCGGCAGCAGCAGCATTAGATTCTCTTACACCAGAAGAAGTAGGCACCATGCCCACGGAAGCCATCTTTAAGAAAAAAAGTGTGTCCTAATTCTCCACTTTTCAGCCAATCATTTATCTACATTGCAAAAGGGCCAAAAAGATGTTAATAAACTCAACTAGAGACACAACTGGTATGTTAAAAACAATCTCTATCATTAACTACACCAAAAAGACTAAAGTTCAACACACTCACAATACCCCAAAAAACCAATCAAATGAACTAAGCCCTTTTATCTACGTAGCAATTCAAGCTTAACAAAACAACCACTCAGCCACTTCTAATCCCAGAAAGACTTTGAGCAAATACCCATTATTTTAATTAAAAAAAATAAACTACAACACTTATGATCCCATCAATGCATAAATTTTTAGCTTATACAATCATATATCTATACAATTATACATATATATATTATAAACGGGGAAATAAACCTCCATATCTAGCTAAAAATGGCATTCTAAGATATCATTCAGACAAAAAGGAGCTAATAACTCTAAGCACACAAAAAAGAATAGAATGTTATGGGAATTTCATCAATTGTAAGCACTTATTTTTCAACCTTTTTTGGGATGGGATTTCATAATACAAATATACAGCTAATGATTACAGACTCATCAAGCAAATTAATGAGAAAAATAAAAAACAGAGGATTACGAGGTAATATCCATAGAAGGAAACCAAATTAAAAAAAACACCCAACTTCAATTAATGTTCAATAATAATAAAAAAATGGATCCTAGAGGTAGACTTGAACCACCAAACACACAAAAATCAGATTTTTTTCTTTGGTAAATAAAAAACAACGTGGTGATCCAAATCTAACAGCCACAAACAAGATCGTACAAGAAACAATCCGATCCAAAACACACACACACAATAAGATATTTTAATCATCGATTCTGTAGATAGAAACCCAAAAGGAAAAAAAGGGTAAGAGAAGAAATAAGAGAGGGTGATATACATATGGATTGAAAGAGGAAATACAGGAGAAGAAGCAGAGCAGCAGACGCGGTTGAGGAGACGCAGCGGTGAAGAAAGGAGAAATTGGTAAAAAGAGAAGGAAACAATATTTGATTTTATATTTTTGTATTCTGCAAATTGTGATTTGTATAAGACAGTTCAATAAATTTGGTGTTTCACATGCTATTTCAGATTTCTATTTCGTTTTTTTATTATTAATATTTATTTTAATTTTGTATTTGATTAAATACTTTATTATTTATTAGTAAAATTAAATAAATAAAGTTACTGTATTGGGGGTTGCCATAGTGTTGACAGAGACAGACTCTTGAAACACGGAAAGTGATTTTCATTTTGTTGTTCTTTCCTTTATTTAATCTGATGATGATGATGATTATTAAATATTAAAATAAATTTTTGTTTAACTATTATTATATTTATAAAACAAAGATTAAATTGTTAAAGTAAAGTTGCTCGATATATAAATCGTATAAACTTTATATAAATTTATATATTTTATTTACAATGCAGGGGGTTTTACATTATAAAATTTTAATTTATAATTTAAAGTTCACCGTCTGTTGAATATCGATTTCGTTAATTTAACTACTTTCGGCCATGGAACACTCTAGGCCTTTTTAACTTATTTTAGGGTCAAATTGTTGCTTTGGTCCCTTTCCATGCTTATATTTTGTATTTAGTACTTTCGGTTGACTATTCTTTTAGGGTAAAGTACACAAATTACCTCCGACTATTGGTGGTTGAGTTTTTTAACTATTAAAAATTATAAAATATTCTTTTGACTATAAGATATTATTTTTTAAGTCCTTCAATTACTAGAAGTTACAAAATGATCACCTGATTATTTCTATGTTCCAAACTCATCATTTTCTGTTAAAAAAACTAATGACATTTTGGGTTGAACATTAACCTGCTGATTAAGATGTGTTAAAATTTGATTCTAGAATCTCAAACGACTATCATATCTCAATCAGTATTATAACATCCAGTTCAGACGATTATTAATATTTTACCCAAAAAAGACGAATTTGGAATGTATAAATAGTCTGATGACTATTGTATAAATCTCAATAATTAATAGATTCAACAAAACAACATCATATAGTTAGAGAATAACTTTGTATCATTTAATTTAATGTACTTTATCATTTTTTTATCAAAGATAAATGTGTTTACTTATTTATATAAAAAAGAACATAGATAAGATAACAATAGAATTGAATGGTTTTCGTGATAAAAAAGAATTTTTTTCTCTTAAAGATTTGGATTCGAATATATACATCTACATGATATTGTATTTTATCAATATGATAAGAAAATTATGAATATATAGTTAAAGAAAACAGAAGTCAGCAGCCATCAATCATATATACCATATTCAAATAACAATCATATATATATATTACTCATTCTAATGCATCCATCCATCTATATATATCAAACTAATTTAATGTCACAAATTAAATGAACAACTCCTCAATTATTCATACTTTCCACATAATATCCTGGAACACTCTTTAAGCAATAGAAACAGCAGTTACACCACGCTACCACATTTAGTTGTATAATTCAGAATATGGTTCATCTTCAAGATTCAGATAAACTGTTAAAACCAATAAAGCACATCGTTAAACCAAAAACAAAGCATTCCAAATGGTCCATCTCTTAGAATAAGTGGTAAATGCAGTCCCATAAGAGTGGAGCATGAACACGAAATAACCAATGACGGTTACCCCCATTAAATGATGCCACAAATTTACAGACTAACATTTATCCTTAAGACAATCCAACTGGAACGTGATCCTAGTAGTATAAAAACTAACAGTACAACACTCCAAAGCTATATGTTAGACGACTACAATCTTCTAAAATACCAGCTGCTGCAACTATATCATGTCTAAACATTAAAAACTAACCGGAAAATTGATAGGACTAACATCACATCTATCGTAACTTGGAACGTTTGGGAATTGAACTACTAGGAGGGGCTCGGGATTTCCCAAAAGCCTTCATTTTCCTTCTCTTCCTATCTTCCTCGCTGTCCGATTCATTCCCCTTCTCCCTGTCTGCATTGCTTGCTTCCCTCTCCAACTCCTCCCATGTCTTTCCCTTCTCTTCTTCAGAGTATTCCTCAGATTCTTCTTCCTCTTCATCCTCGGACTCGACCAATGACGCACTATCAGAGTCATCATCCTCTGACTCAGATTCAGGCTCCACATCAGATGGATCGTAACCCTGATCCGATTCCTCTTCATCCTCAGACTCAGGATCACTAGCTTCCAAGTTCAAAAATTCCCAACCCCCATTTTCAATGAAGCTCTGTGGATCATCAGTGATTGTCTTCAGAATCTGCCGCCAGTTCAGATTCAGCCTGCTCTCGTAGTACTTGATGTCTGTTGTATCCAGCCATTCCTTGATGCCATCAAGTGCAGTTGAAGGGATGGAATCAATCCTGAGTACATCTTTCTTGAAGTCCTTAAAGACAATGGTCATGTCAAAATTTTTCTGCCCAAGGCCAACTCTTTCCAGGTTAACAATCTCAATCTCACTTAAGGTGACCACAAGGAAAGGATTCTCTACCAGCTCAACCAAACAGCTTGAGGTTGGCACAATGAAAGCAGAGGCTTTGTACGGGACCCCATGGAAGCCAAGTTCTCTAAGAGGCTGATCAAACTCGAGATCAAGACCATTAAACTGAGGTTGTCCCCAGAGATCATTTACCCTATTCACAAAACTCTGGAAATCCATGTTGATCTTATTCTTCCTATCTCTCTCCCTTTGCTCTTCTTCAATTTCATCTGGGTCATAAGCAGATCTCTTTGCCCCTCCCAATGTCTGCACTACATCCATAACCTCAACATAAAATTGTACATCCTTGGTTTTCTTGTTTCCTACCATTATGTGGTTGTGCAGATGAAAGTGATGGAGTGTGATCATCTCTTTCTCAGCAGGCTGGAAGAATGCATGCTTTATGTTTCCAAACATATGTCGACACGCTCATCAGCTCTAGTGGTAGAATACCGGAAACCGTTAGCATGGGCTTCAAGTGTTCCTGGAATCTTTCTCCCACGACCGCCAAAAACAGGACGTATCCAAAGGTCAGATAACCGTATAGGCTTGAATCTGTTCCCTGCAAGTTGAAGTTTTTCTTGAGTAACCAAGGTAGCTCTCTCAGCTTTCTCAGATTCCCTAGCAACGACATGCCGGCGAAGTGTTTTAATCTGTTGTACCACTTCACTTATGTGCCTTGGATCCTTGGAGCGAAATGAGACTTCTTTTAGATATAATGCTCCTTGATTCTTTAGAGAGTTTGAATCGTGAGGGCTAAAAGGAGTCCCTGGAACATTAAATATAATCCGGATAAAGCAATTCCGATTGGTATCCTGCTGGCTGGAAACTGTCCTTATAGTAGCCACATGAAAAGGTACCATACTACCATAAATTGGCAAGAGCACAGCTTCGTTCTTTTGGTCAACTTGAATCATAAAATCTCTAGGCGGGGGCAGGTCGTTGACATTCTTATAAGCTATCAAATCAGTTGAAGCTTTTGCAGCTGAACGGTTGTCTCCATTCCCAGGTCCACCCGCAAGCCGCCTAGCCGTTTCTTCATTCTTCTGACGAGCAAGTTCTGCTTGGTGCTGCCTACGCAACTCCTCCTTAGAGGTCTCATGATTATCTGACCTAAGCACCGTCTTAGACATAAAGGGCTCCAAGCCATTTGTTTCAGCCCTCACAGTCATTTCTTCCTCCTCATCTTCATTGAACGAGTAAGCCACATCTTTAACAGCCTTGGAACATTTTCCAGTCACCACTTCCGTATTTTGTTCACCAACAATAACTGTATCAGCAAGTAAGAGAGAAAAATTACTGCTCTTTGGTTTCTTACTCTCACATTGCAAGTTCTGAAAACCAAGTGACACATTGAAAACCATTCCTGCTTTGACCAAGCGGTCATTCTTCCCATTGAGATTAAGCCCTGACTCACGAAACTCAAGACCAATTCCTGTTCCAGCAGATTTTGTTAGATTGGGAATCCAGTCAGGAGCCTCTTTCTCAACAATTGAAAATGCAGCTTGATACGCAGCACTAAATTTTCTCCCAGGCTTCAAAGCACCAATTGCAGCTTCATGGGCCTTAAGAAGAACCCCATATGCCTTGTTCTGAAGTGGGGTGGCATCAATCAAGATAGTTCTCGCAAGATTTGAGCAATAACTGTTATAGCGAGTTCCAACTGCACATAAGATAACACTGGCAGAATCATAGTACAGGTTCTCGTCATTGCTTGCAGCACTAGGTCTGAGATCAAACTCGCCCCCACTTTGAAATATGGGAGGATAACAAATATCGACATTCTCCGGCTTAAGCTTTACTTTGGCTAGCTGTGGATTCACTATAGCTTTCTCAGTTTCATCCATCAAGGCAGCATGAGTAATTTTCTTCTCCTCATCAATTACACTTTCTAGCTTTGGAATCACAATATTATTCATCACGTTGTAGCTTAAATAAGCAGCTTTCTTGACATTCATAACTTCCTCTTTGTCTTTCACAGCAAACAGGTCAGATAAACCATTAGTTACATCAGTAAGCTGAAAGCCAGAACTTTTTAGTTGTTCAGCCCAAGTCTCTAAAAGCTTTCCTTCAGGAGCTTCTCGAGCTATGCAACCAAAAATAGGAGAATCATTTTCAGACCCCTTGCATTGTACATTGATGGACTTAAATATAGCATCCATTAATGCAACTCCATCATCACTCTTTGCCTTCACATGCATAACAACATCAGCCCCCACAGCCTCCTTAGCAGATTTCTTCACAACTTCAAGAAGAGAAGCTTTCTTCTGGCTACACAAGAAATGAATCTGCTTCTTTGTGAAAACAATTATAGTCTCGGGAAACTCATAACCTAGCAACCAAATGTCTAGTGCTGATGATTTCAGATATCGTAAATCTTCTGAAGGTGGTGGTGTAGCTACTGCAAAAACACAAGAAGAGCCCCAGAGCTCGGCATTGTGTTCATTCCAGTGTGAATACATAGCCTTCAGACGTTTGCTGAAATTGTCCAGATTAATAGAGTAAGTATTT